TGCAAAGTCTGGATCAGAAAAATTAACAAGATTTTGTCTGAGTCTTGAAGGATTTGCTATTGTGAATTTTGTCTACACAATTTGTTTTGGGCATGTTTGCCATTTTGAATACTGGATTTGTTCAATTGCTGGTGTAAGACAAGATTCTAAGTTTCTGCTTCCTACTGAGGAAGGTCTGTTGTGGAAAGCACTCTTTAGGGTGCATCATGTAACTGTACCAGGTTTTCATACCTGTGTTGTTGTTGTCCCTCCCTAGTGTGGGGGAGGTGTAATCTGTGCTTAGATGTTTAATGTGCTCTTTCAGCTTCTGTCCCAGAGTGGCTAACAGAAGTAAGGAGATGACTCCTTTTAATTGAAAGTTAATTACTGATATTTTGATTTTGCTTTTTCAGGTTCTATTCCAGGAAACCCAAGGATTGCCTGCTTGGTGGCTAACAAGAGATGACTCCTTTTGCTTGAAAGTTAACTGTTACTTTTATTCTTTCAGTTGCTGTACAGAATACCCCAGGATTGACTTCTAATAAAAAGTCTTCAACACTGAAAACCCTAAGGTGATAAACAAGGTCATGTAACTCTTGTGATTAATAAAACTTTTCCTTCCTATTTCCAAAGTCTTAGGTTTGCAGGATGACAACTGGAAATTTTTCTGCCAGCAACACTCCACATTTTTTTTGGACTTTGATATTTTTTTTCTGAGCCTATGGAGTAAAACTGCAGTTACATAACATATTCTACGTGGCATAACTAAAAAAAAAAAACTGTCTTTGTCTATATGTTGTATGTCTGTATGTCCTTCTGTCTGTCTTGACCTCCAGTGATTGACAGATTGGTATACATGGTGCCCATAGACGTTGGAAAAAAAAAAAAAAGAGTCTCCGGTTATGAGAAAAACAAAAAGTTATGGTTTGATTGTCAACATTGTGCTACTGAACTAAGCCGGTGCCTTCATAGAGATTGAATATTGTTGTTTCTGTTAATTTTCTGATATCTATGGCAAAGCTTCCCAGAAATCTAAATTCAAGTACAAATTTGGTAGCCTGTCATTTGACTGATGCAAGGAAATTTTGTGGAACCTCAGTAGAGCTCCTGAGACACTCCACGAAGTTTCTCCTTTTCCTCCTGGAAAGGCATTACATGAATTTGTTCTATTTGGCTTTTACCTAATGACGTAAAACTGGAAGGGAAGCATTGTCACTTGGGAAAATGGAAAAACTTTGGTATGTACAATATGTTAACAGTAGTATCTGGTATGTGTGTAAATTGTCAATGGTGATTGTCACCTTGTAATATTGTATAATTCAATTGTTTCACACCTACAGAAATTGTTTCCGGAAATATAGGGAGAAAAGGTCTCAACAGATTCCTATTGATGGAACTGTTGAGAGTAAAACTTTCTTACAAAGGACTCAATAGACCTGGAAATACACCTGACATTTACTAAGGTTTCTTTGACATAATACTGGAAATTTTCTTTTTATGCATTCTGTCCTGAATCCACGAAATTTTTGTTTTGTTTTGTTTTGTTTTGAGTAACCAGGATCTGCAGCAATTTTTTTTCCAGCAAAGCTAACTTGTCACATTTTCTCTCCCCTTAATACCAACACAGCATACAAATAGTGGTAGTAATTTTTGCTACTTATCTCAGTCTGTTTTTGCATAACTTCCATAGGGATTTTGTCTGCTTAAACAAAAAAAATTGGACGTGAGTTTGATTGTGTGGCTTTGTGTGGAGTTCTTCCAGAAAGTTGAAAAAGAGCTGAACCAAGAAGAGGAGAACCTGTTTGCCTTGTTTGTAGGGTTCCAGAGACCTCCAAAGAAGGTGAGGAAGCTTGCCTCCATTGGCAGGACTGGACAACCCAGCCAACGAAAATGCCCTGGTACCCTCGAGAAGAGGAAAGCCCAGGTGGAGTCTGATGAGACCAACTTTATACCTGAAGCATGCATCGACTGGATGCCACCGGTTCGCTCTGATCCTGTGTGGAGTATTTCAACAAAGCCAGCTAAAAAAAATGCTGTTAGTTATTTCTACCCTGTGATTTTATGCAAAAAATAGGAAAAATGGTTTAAAGGTGGATTTAATTTGCAAACTTTTGCTATGCTGTTAAAGTTTGGGATCAAGGTTGAGAGAATTCGTTTTTGCATAAGTTGAACCATTTTAACATTTTTTTCCCTGTGATTTTGATATATTTGCTATCTTGTTTTAGCCAATGCTCCAGATTTTTTTTTCTTTTGGCTTGGATAATGGACTATTTTTAAGTAATGAAACTGTCATACTGGACATTCATGGACAATGCTGCTAATTGTTGCTTCTCTTACACACATTGTAACCCTGAAAAAAACAGTCTCCTAAGACTACACCCTGAGATTGTGCCACCATAGATATGGTGGAATAAAATTAAAAGGGGGGATTGCAACAGGGTGGTCCCCAGGAAAGGGGGAGGCTCCCTGCCCCACCCAAGGGAGGGTGGAGCTGAGCAGGAAGAGGAGAAGCTGCAGAAGGGACTGAGGAAGGAAGCAGGATGGAGCCAGGAGACCTGGAAGAGGCGCATGGAGCCTAGAGACATGTGAAGAAACTGCGCTTGTCTTTTGGTCGTGGACTGGGTGACACAGATGTGGGTGAGACCCGTGGGGAGGTGACCATGGCAGCTTTTATCTTGATGTTGATTTTGCTCTTTTCCTTCCGGGCTTGTCCGGTTGTTTGTGACCCTTCTCTGTGGGTCCCCACTGGAAGATGCTTTAGACTTTTAGCAGGCTTTGGGGCTTTGCTCTGCGCCATTCCCATATGGATGGACTTTTACCCACGAGGGGATGGGTAACTTTGGGTGCTTCATTTAGAAACTAGACTCTTTGCCTCACCTGTATTGTTTCCTAGTTTTTATTAAAGTTCCTTTTCATTAAAGTCTCCTATGTTTTGTATTGATGCGGCGGATGGCAGAACCCATTTAGAATAGGCAGGTTTGCGGGGCTTGGGCTGCCCCTCTCCCTGTCCTATAACAAAAGTAGACAGGCTGCTGCAAGACCTACAAATAAATAGGAGCCTCTGCAATGTATGTCTTATCCAGAGACATTACCAGTTCTTCCCTTCAGATCAAAGCAGGACTATGTATTTTGGGGTGAAACAACTCTGAGAAAGAAAGTAGAAAAAGGGTCACCCTTTGAAATGACACAAAAGCAGCTTACTGGCTTTCCAGTTTCCTCTCCTCTGTTCAGGAGTATTTTTTCCTCTTAACTCTTCAGTGGGATGGGTTCTCCTTTCCTCTGTCCTCAGTTATGTGAAGGTATTTTGAAGTTTATCTATTTCCAGTCATGTGACCGTAACAATCTACAGTAAGAAATACACATCTAGGATGCATTACATTGTTAAATAGCTGAGAAAGTAAATGTCATGATTCCTAGATTGCAAGATTGTGTATTTTCCATCTCCCTAACATCATCCTAGTTTCCTCTTGGTTACAGGTTCTTGACCTTCCCCGGTGGTCTCCAAAACATCTACCCTCTAGTGAAGTCAGACATTGTCATTCTTTTTAGTCTCTGTAGAATAAGAGATTTTCTGGCTTTTCTGCCCTCCCTCCATTAGGATTGCTCCACTTGATGGGGCATCTGCATTTGTAACACTGTTGTAAGTTGTGTCATTTACTTCTGTGGGCCATGACTGCAATATTGAGATATATTCGCCAAGCAGAAGCAGGAGAGAGGTAGGAGAGAGAAGGGGAGAAAGAAGGCCAGAGAAACCCAGAGTAAAGACTTGCCATGTACCCGGTTGTTACACTACATGTAAAAGCTCAATAAAAGCCTGAGAAAGCCACTGAGGGCTTCAGGACTCTCCTTTACCCGTCTGGTCTGCTCAAATCATAGAAGACCTACTCTGTGCCCATCCTGCCCCTACAGTCTCCATATTTACTTATTTTACCTTTTTGACATTTAGACAACTATGAAATAAATACATGGTTCATAATACAATAAACATATGATTCATAATACACAGTTAGTATCTTCCAGTCTTTGAATAAAATGTTCAAATCCTTACCATGTTTTTCCCTCTCTTTGCTCAAAGAGCTTATTCTTAACAAACTATTCATTCACCCTCATTCCACACCAAATAGCTTGGGTACCTGGTGCTTGCTTTGCCCTATGCCTGGAAACTCTTCAACAATGTGTGTTGTTCAGATGTCTCCTTAAATATCATTTCTAAATGCCCTTCTCAGGATAAAATAACACCTTAGTCAGTCACTTACCATCGACTCAAGTCTGCTCTATTTTTCTTCTTATTTTCTATCAGTGATATTCCATTTGTTTTAACATTCTATTTCATTTTTACTCTAAGGTAGCACATGAGTCCCATAAAATTATAGATTCTGATAGCTTACTTCATTTCTTACTTACAGTATATACAATAGACCTTGGAACTTAGAGATTCAAGAAATAAGCTGAATGAATGAATGAAAGGGTCCTCTTACTGAACTTTGACATTTTTGAGAGGAGGGAAATAATTGTACATCAAATAAACCATTTTATGTACAATAGGGGTTTAACATGATTCTTAAAAGAAAGAATTATAATAAACGAAACAGCTATATAATTAAAGGGAAAGCCTCATTCGCTATCCAAAATTTGCATTAATAGAAACATTTTCAAAAAGTGTTAGCAACACAGAGGGAACAAGAGAGGATCATTGTTGGAGTTTCTCAGTTAAAATTAATTAAGAGTTAATAGTCATTCAAAGAGCAGCCTGGAAAAGGACCAATACTGTTCTAAGTATGGGGAACATGTTCTGTGCTGTGTAGACCTGGAATCTCTACTAAGTAGGGTGATGTCGATACAGGGCAGCCAGGGTAACTAAAACTAGCCAAGGACACTGCCCAAATAGTTTACCGGTCACTCAGTTCTTGACTCGTGCACACAATTGCAAGACTAATCAGGTTCAGAGAACAACAATAATGGGACTTATTTAACAAATAACGAAAAACAAAGAGTCACTGAGGCCACAAATGGCCACTTACCTCACCTGAAGCAGTGTCCAGTGTTTCATAGTCCTAAACACAAAGGCTCCCAAGACTGTATCTTCCTGCCACGGAGGGCCTGGAGCCTGTGACCTGGATCCATCTCACCAAGACAGCAGAAGACACAACAGGAGGCGCTCACCAGAGCTGCTGAGATATGAGATATGCCAGCCCAGCACCAGATAATTGACAGTCAAAATAGCGGCTGCTGCAGCCATATGACCTTGATAAACGGCCACACTCATGCAGTTCAATGAGGTGCCCCATCCGGGTTCTTCCCTTCCACACTGTAACAGCAGCAAAGCTGGGAACAATTTAAGGCACTCAGCTACCTGCAAAGCCTACAAACTTTTCTTCTCTGTGGTTGGTTGCTGGAAGCCTCTCCACATCCTTCAGAGGCCAGCAACAGCCTTCTGGAAGATCAACATGGTGGGTGCAGAAAGTGGCTGAACCCACAATTGGTGAAAATCTGAAAAAGCTGAAACTACCAAAGGTTGAATGCCTGGAGGGGCTGCTTTTGCAATTCCTTATATTTCTTACCAGAGTTTCCACACCCCCACCCATGCTTTGTTCCTATTTGCCCTGGGGCTATTAATCCTCACCAGCAACCCCCCTCCAGGGCTACCACCTGTGAACACTTTGCCTTCAGCCCCAGTTTGCAATGTGATTGAGCTTCACCAGTTATTCTGATTAAAGTTAGCTAAATCCTAATTCAGTCTTACTTTGGAGAAATTCATTTTATTTTCCACAGTGGCTAAGACACATGCTTTATTATTCCATAATATTTATATATTATGTTACAATGTAAAACATTTTAAAATTAAAGGAACATTTAGAATATGGGGCTTTTGCTGTACTTAATCACAATCCTATTCTTTGACATAGGGGAAAATTACACATACATTGCTAATGAGAATTAGCAATTCTTATTTGATTGAAAAATAATAGATATATTATTATTTCAAGACTTTCTCTTGAAATTTGCATTGCATTAGAGAAAACTTTAAGAATAGTTTGTTCATTATATTCTACAGAATAATTAATACTTAAGACCAAAAAAAAAAAAAACTTTGGGGATACACTTTACATTACAAAAGCCTTTTGATGTTTGATTCTAGAATCAATAGTTGTCCAGGGGAAAAAAAAAAAAGAAATCCAATTTTAAATGCTGAGATTCTGTTTCAAAGCTCAGTGCCTACTGCTTGAAATTGGCTTTAAACTCACTGTTATTATTGTGAGTGATTTTTATGAGCCTATTATTTTGCAGTAACTCATATGGTGTTTATACTACTAGTATATACCTTATTTGATCGTTGGCTCTTCTGGAAAATATCTCCAATAGATTATCCATAAGTTACATATTTATAGTTATCACTGTACCATTGGGGCTTGATAGATTTCACTTTCTTATCCATTTAAAATTGTAAGGCAGTGCTCACAGACTCTGAAAGTTCTGAATGAGGAAAAGCATTCCATTAGCTGTAATCAAAATGATACTTTTTGTCAGGTGTTACTATTTGTCCTGGCCTCATCTTTAAAGGCTAGTTCATTGCATGGTGTGAATTTCAACTCAAGTGTCATGCTTGCTATTTGCAAATGCTCAGCAGAACTCCTCTTGAATTGAGATAGCAAGCTAAAATGCAAAAAGAAAGCTGACAAATATTTCTAGAACAAAGATGGTGGTAGTGTGTGTGTGCTGTGGGAGCTTGCATTTGTTTGTATGTATTGTAAGGTCTAAAGTTAAACACAGCACTCCAAACACGTAAATCAAGGAGCTAATGATTTGCATAACAAACCAACATTTAGGTTTTAGAGGAGAAACTTGTTAGTATTTTCATTTGTCCCTTTCAATCTGACCTCTTAAAGGACTATGCTAGAGTACAGTTTGTTCAAACAAATATGTTTTATGATTTGTGGTGTTTGTGAATTCTGTTAAAATATTTATTTTGTGCTCATGTGGACTATATTTTTCCTGTGAATTTGGGTTCTCCAGATAAGACTTTTCCTTTTTTGTTGGCAGAGTTAGCTGAGAACTTTGTTATGCACCTTTGAAACATGTTTTCTCATCTCCTATTTCCACCCCTTAATTTTAATATATCAGAAACTATACTTACATAAATTTTAAATTCATATGAATAAGCTTAAATGTTGTAGGGTAAGGAAAAAGTATCAGGCTTTTCTTCCCCCCATCCCCCACCATTAGGATAGATGAGGGAACCCTGTGGTCCTGAATACATGCCTGATGGCGGGCACCTGAAGTGGGTACCCCTGGGCTGAGTGACTGAGTTTATAAAGGTGGCGTCACTGGGACGCCAGCAGAAGCCAAGAATGAACAGAAGCCAAGAGAAGAGAAGCAGAGAGAAAACCCAGAGAGCCCAGATACAGTGAGGATTTGCTGGGGGTTGGGAGGACTGCCAGCCTCCCGGCCCCCCAGCACCCCTGCCTGCCATGTGCCTGGTAAATCTAAATAAAAGACCTGCAAAAGTCACTAAAGATTCTGACTCCTCCTTTACCCGGTCTGCTGGATCAGAAAACGTGTCCTGTGCCCTGTTCTTGACCCTACAAATGTCTATAGATATTATTCTTTATAAAACTCTCTTTTTAAGGATTAAGAAAAATCTACAAAAGGTTCAAACACTTGTGTCACATGACTAGTTATCAATAAATCTGGAATTAAGGACCTGGAAGGACATTTGAGGATAAGTATGAGATGGTATACATTTTATAGAACAACTTTATTTGATATGCATTCTTTTATTTAACAAAAACAATAATATGATGCTGACTTTTTGGTATTTTTTTTACATGCATTTCTAAAACATATGGCTAAAGAACCTTAAGATCTAATCTTCAAATCACCTATATATTATTTTTAACTCTGGTTAGAGATACAGATATGAAAATGGGACAATATTAAGATCCACATAGATGTAATAAAGAAATCTAATAGAATTACCCTTAGCTAGTCTGTCTTTTGTAATAACTTCAGATAGCAATTATTTTTGTCTCACATCAAGTTGCTACAGTTCAAGTATTGAATTACAATATATGTTTAAATAAAAATGGTAAATCTTCAAGCTTATTACAAGAAGAATATATTATTGAATTGAGCTTGATGCTAATACAGAACAGCTTTTATTTTATATGCCATATGATTTACATCTTGAGAGTGAATTTCACAATCATCTCATATTAATTAATGAAGGCTAAAAATGTATCCTAAATCTCCCTGTTTGCCCCCCCTTTTCGAAACTGAATATGTGGTACTGAAAAAGATTATAGCGCTTACTTAAAGCATAAAAGCAAGAAAAAGTTTAAATGAAAGGAATACAAGGGAAAAAAAAAACTAATCATTAAATGAACAAGGCAGGAGGAAAAGAACAGCAATAGTTGTGGGAATAATTGGCACCTGACAAATGTTGTAAGTTATCCTCAAAGTTTTGCAAAAACAATTGTGCAACATTGGAATTTTAAAAATCAAAACACTTGGATAAGTACATCATCCATCTTGTTTTCTTTATTTTCGTCAGAAGAAATATAGTGACTGGGATTAACTCTGCTAAATAAACTAATCCTATTTCAGGGAAATATCATTTTCCATGTGAAAACACCTGTGTAACACTTCCAACTCTTTTTTGCTGCAAAGTTTTCTCATTGTGTGCAGTGTTTACTTGTTCCTCAGCAGGGTCTGCTGATGCTAATGGACTCACAGCAGTGCCTCCTACTTCAGTTATTACAGGTCTAATTCAGTCATTAACATTTCATTAATGGACGGGCCTCCTAGCTGCCTGCAAGGCTGTGCAGATATTGATGAGCTCCCTGCTAAAAGAAACAAGTCTTTAAGGTGGACTGTATTAAATATGGGGTGTCTTAGTGAGGGTTTTACCGAGGAAAGCATGGATAGTTTTCTGAGGATTTGACTAGGACTTTAGGTTAAGACAGAGTGAAGAACGCAAGAGTTGTGTTCCTCACCCTCAGGGATTTCACAGCATTCTATAAATTGAGCACACATTTCATTCTAGGATGGGTGGTTAACTAATAATCCCCACCCCACCCTCCAACAAACTGCTGTGCATATGCCCCCCTATACGAAATCTCAAACCCATTTCCTGATTTCCCAAAGCAATTTAATCTTTGTTGTTTTTGTTACTGGGAGAACAAACTTGAAGAAATAGCTTAATGAAGACATCATTTAACTTCTCTTTTCCTGCAGTTACTGTCACTATAGAAAAAACATCCTGAGCTCTGTCTCTAGTCCCTTTCTCTACTTTCTGTCCTCTGTCCACCCCAGTGAGGCTGTGGTCCTAACCACCTGACCAAAATTCACTTGCCAGGAGAGCCAGTGATTTCCAAATCATTAAACCTGGCTGCCTTATTTAAGCTGGCCTGTTGCTCGATCTTACAGCCCTTAGAAGGATTCAACCCTTATTTATTTTCTGGGGAGTAATGATCTCACATTCTCTTGGTTTTCTCCTCATTCTGCTCCTCTTTAGCCTTCTTTACTGGTTCCCCCTTTTCACTAACAACTCCAGGTTGGGATGCCCCTCCTCCTCAGTCTCTTGGTGATGGGTTCCATCCCAATCAGTATAACTACCATTTCTCTGCATGAGATTTCCAGGTCTAAATAGTTCGAGCCAATATCCTTTCATGACTGAGAAAATTAAAGAGAAGTTTTCATTCTAGCTTTTTCACTAACTTTTTATGTTACATTATTTAAGTCAAATAACTTCTCTTAACTTCTGCTTTCCCTTCTGTAAAATGAAGTTGTTGAATTATTTGTTCTCTAAGGTCTCTTCAAGCTCTAAAACTCTATGACTAGAATCTAAGCTTTGCATAAAGCAGGACAATCAGATCTAAGTGTATGAACTGTATCCCCAGACCTCCTATTAAACAAATTGTTATCTTCCTGTGCAACTGAGAATTGAAATATATTGTATCATACAAATTTCTAATGCAAGTACTTTGTGAAAATTACTAATTTGATACCACAATTATGCTTGTAATGTAAAATTATTAAGTACAGCCATATTGCTTATAACTGTACATGGAACTTATATTGTTGCAATAAAGTGTGTTTAAATTCCATTACATAACCTTATTGTATTCTTTAATGGCATTCACAATTTAAGTAGGAAAAAAAGCAAGCAGTCAAAAGAGAATGATTATGGGTACTTTAAATTGTATTATGATGCTGAAAAGGGATAACTACTTAGTTTCCTATATGCACCTTTAATTCTTTTATGGTCAATATTACATGATTTTGTTTATGGTAAACAAGGCAACTAGCAAAAGCCTAATTAGGGTTAAAACATTTTTTGAAGTATTGAATAAGATTACAATAAAAAAAATGAGTTGTGACTTCTGTTTCTTAAATGGAATTTTAATATTTTTGTGCCATATTTTAGATGCTAATTTTCAATCTTGTAGAATTATGCTCCTCAGTTTTACAAACAAATATGAAATATAGTCACAC